CCTCACAAGCCACGCCACAGGTAAGTACCGGCCCTACCGGGCCTGCCCAACATCCATGGCCCCGACGGGGTCACACACACACTCAAGCACTCAGTCAGGCACGCATTCATCACCCAGGCACGCCAACCACATACAGGCACGCACTCAGACCCAACACAACCCACTCAACAGGCAGGGGACTTAGTACGGCATGCATTCCACGAGCAAACTCAGAAATCAGCTGTCTGTTACAGTCCGTGTGATGACGGGTCATTACAATAGCTGAATTTAGAGTGAAAGATACCCCAAATTCAGCCATAATGACCGTATGTTCTATTCGGGGGAAGGCTGTAGCGTGAGTGTGCTCTCAGTTGGTGATACACCCACAAATAGTTGAAATACAGATGACCGACCCAAGTTTGAATCCAGATGTTTGTTTAACCAGATGAACAGCAGTAAATAATTTCAGAGTTACCTGGGCCCGGTCAGTTCAATCAACTTCAATGATGATATCTCAAGGCCATCACCCTCCTTTTTTTTTTGTCTTTTTTTTCTTTTTTGAAGTGCAATCTTTTTTTTTTTTTTTTTTCAACTGACCAGAACAGAAAGGACACTTGATCTTAGCCAAAGGGCCGAGAATGTGTATTAAAAAAAAAAAGCCAAATAAGAATTAAAAATCGCAGAAAGTGGTATTTTAGACCAATCTTCGCCCAAATTTTTTTTTTTTTTTTTTTTTTTTTAACACACCCCGGGTGATGCTAGCGGTGCTGGAATTGCTCCAGATATACCGGCAAATAGTGCCTTGTTGTGCAACTGACACGGAAGCTCCTCCTGATCTGCAGACATGCTGCTGCTTTACTTGAACCACCCTGGGTACTTCAGAGGCACTTTTTCTCTGGGGATCTGGAAACGGCGGCCTGCGCGCCAAAAGGAAGGAACCAACACACGCCTCCCTTTTGGCTGGCGCCGCCAGCCATTTTGCTCAGCGGACCGAGCCTCGAAAGAAGAAGCACTGGTATACAAGCTGCTGCATATTTGATCCTTTGGCCTCCTGCTTAACAACATTATGTCCTCCAGTTAAACCACCACCAGTACTTGGCCCAGCAATCTACTGTGGAAAAAAAAAAAAGAAGAAAAAAAAAGAGTAGAAACATTTCTAGTCAGATGAATTTGGGCGCTCCTGTAGTGACCCGTACATTTCCTAAAACCGTGGCTTGTTAAAGCGCACACAAGCTGCTGCATATTTGATCCTTTGGCCTCCTGCTTTACAACATTATGTTCTCCAGTTAAACCACCACCAGTACTTCGCCCAGCAATCTACTGTGGAAAAAAAAAAAAAAAAAAGAGTAGAAACATTTCTACTCAGATGAATTTGGGCGCTCCTGTAGTGACCCGTACATTTCCTAAAACCGTGGCTTGTTAACGCGCACGACTTTAGGAAGTACTTACTGGTGGTTTTAACCACCAGTACGTTTCCGGACCTCGAAAGAAGCGCTCTGGTATACGAGCTGCTCAGGAGGCCGAGCCGCAGAAGGAAACATACTGGTGTTTTAAAGCACCAGTACACCACATGTCGGCCCGCGGGTGTCATGAAGAAACCTGCGCCACCCGGATGCCGCCATTTTTTTTTTTCAACGGCGGGACAGGCCGCACGGCGCCTTCGAGTTTTGCTTTGCGACGACAAAAACTTTCTGCAAGGCTGGGGCCATGTACTAGCAGTTTAAACCACCAGTAGTTCCTAAAGCCGTGCCCGGTCCTAAAGTATACTAACGGGCCACTACAGGAGCGCCCAAAGTCATCCGACTAGAAATGTTTTTTTTTTTTTTT